CCTGCTCAGTGGGAAGCCTGCTTCTCCCTCTCCCACTCCCCCTGCTTGTGTTCGCTCTCTCGCCTGTGTCTCTCTCTGTCAAATAAATAAATAAAATCTTAAAAAAAAAAAAAGAAAGAAAGAAATGCACAATCTCAGACCCCAGCCCTACTGAGCCAGAATATGCATTTTTAACACAACCCCGAGGGGATTCATTCGCATGCACATTCCAGTTTGAGAAGCAGTGCTACTCCACCTGATTTTGAAAGTGCCGGTGCCTGGCATCAGAGACAGAAACGGACCCACGGGAACCGGCGAGTGTTACATGGAGGCCACGGGGCGTGCTGCCGGGGACCCTGCACCACAGTCCACCCCGGCTCCGGTGAACTTACAGTCACCCTGGGCGTGGTCCACTGCAGACACGGGTGTTCAGCCCGGGGTGGCGGGTGAAAGCCAGCCCGCCACCCGTGTTCATACATCACACAGCCACCCATGAGCTTACGTCTGTGGCGGCTTTTGTGCCACGACCACGACGCTAAGAAGCCTGCAAAGCCCACAGTACTGACCACCAGCCTTTACGGAGGAAGTGTGGGGACATCTGGGTCAGACCACGGCCTACGGCTGGTGGGAGAAACAACAGGGAGACTGGTGTGGACGGTAACGGAGAGGCCGAGACGAGGATTAGTCTGTGGGGGCAGGATGTCCCAAATAAAGGCAAGCAGCCTGTTATCAGTGCCACATGACAGAAGGGGACAGTGTTAACACTGGTCGACGTCACAAGTAGGAATTCAGGATGAGGCTAGCCCAGAGCAGTTCCCTCTAGCAAAGTCGGAGGGTTCTTTAGGCCTTTCCTGTTTTCCCAAGCACGACATAACGTGGTCAACTGTGATCAGAACCAGGGGTCAGGAGATCCTGAGCAACTGGGATGATGTAAGGATTTCTACAAAATGCTGTGGTAAAGAGAAGAAAGCGCCACAAAGCAGGTAACCTGTGGGGTGACAGGATCAACCTGTATCTTGAGGTCACCGGCTTAACGGGGTGGCATGGAGACAGCTCTACACACGCACCCACAGAGGGGCCTGTCCCGTCCTTACAGGACCTCACCTTCGTTGCCAGCATTTGTTGCTGGGCCTCAATCTGCTGCTGCTGGCGAGAGGCCATTTCCTGAAGCTCGGCAAGAGTCAGATCCATCCTGGGGCTGTGAACCTACGCGTGAGAACACAAAGAATCCAGCTGCAAGACGAGCATGGACAGAGACCCCTCCCTCAGAGGTGTGGAAGCTTCCCCTGAGCCCCTCGGGACACAACCAGCCAGTTTTCTTCCATAACATGAAAGAGACCACTAATTTTTATATTAATATCCCCACAATGACTTATTAAGTTTCCATGGAAGACATACTAATACACAGACCAACACTCTTTTAAGCTATAAATGTAAAAATTAAACAGTCTCAATAGTCTGTGGCTGAAATGCAACAATTTAGAATTACCTTGTTCTGGACTGAATTTTATTAGAAAAATAACGCTGGATCACACTAAACATGATACTGAGGCACTGGCAGCTAACCCAGAATACAGGCATCGGAACGACCTTTAAAAATACTGCACTAGCATCAGGAAATTCAAGACAAATGGAGTTATCAGAACAAACAAGACGTCTACTCTGTTCAGCATGGCCCATGGTGTTCTAGCCAGTGCAGAAGAGCAAGAAAAAGACGTGAGCTGCATCCAGTTTGGAAAGGACAGACAACACAGTCATCCGTGAGGAAAATGGTGTGGAATCCACAGAGGATCATTGCATAAATGATCCTTATGCAAAAATCCACTATATCTCTTATGTTAACTAGAAATGTAAAAAAACTTTAAATACCATTTACAGAAGCATAAAACCCACAAAGTACTGAGGAATAAATTTACCAGAAGATGTACTAGACCCGCGCCCTGGAAACCCGTAGCCCCAAGAGAAAAGAAGGCCTGAATGAACGGCAGTAAAGCGTGGTGCTCAGTCACACCATGTTCCTCACGCGACCTGACTACACGACTTAGCTTGCCTTGGGGCCCAACACAGGTAGTGCTGATCTCAAGCCAGAAGAGCAGAGAGCACAGACAGACCAGGCAACCGACTTCCAACAGAGGTACAAAGGCACTGAAGTGACAGAGTCCTTTCAACACATGGCTCCATCAACTGGATACCCATCTATCCATGGACAAAACTTGAACTCTCACACCACATCCAAACAGATCATAAAATGCAATGTAAAGTAACAGTACAAACTTCTAAATTGAGCAATTATACTTTACCAAAATTAAGAACAAGCCACAGACTGGGGAAAATATTTGCAAATCATATACCTAATAAAGGACCTGGATCCAGAATATGGAAGAATTCTCGAACCCAGTACTAAGAAAGCAAACAAACCAACAAAGAAAAATATGAACAAAAGATCTGAACAAATACCTCACCAAAAAAGATAACACAACTCACAAATAAGCTCATGGAAACACACCAACATCATCGGGCATTAGAGAAATACACACTGAAGCCTATTCGCCCAAATTGAAAGGACTGACCCTACCAAATGTTGGCAAGGATGTGGAAAACCTGGAACTCTGATGAAAATGTAAAATAAAACAATCACTTTGGAAAACAGTTTGGCAGCTTTTTTTTTTTTTAAAGATTTTATTTATTTATTTGACAGAGAGAGACAGTGAGAGAGGGAACACAAGCAGGCAGAGTGGGAGAGGGAGAAGCAGGCTCCCCGCTGAACAGAGAGCCCGATGTGGGGCTCGATCCCAGGACCCTGGGATCATGACCTGAGCCAAAGGCAGACGCTTAACGACTGAGCCACCCAGGCGCCCCTGGCAGCTTCTTAAAAAGTGAACGCACACCTGCCACGTGACCCTGCACCCCACTCCTAGTATTTACTCAAAAGAAATAAAAGAATATGCCCATACAGAGACTTGTACCCAAATATTCATTACCGCTTGATCCGGAGTGACCAAAAGCTGAAAAACAACCCCCATAACCATCAAGAGAGAAACGGATGAACAAGCTATATCTGGACAAGGAAAGGCCTCTCAGCAATAAAAAGGAACCAACTACTGATACATATGAGATGGATCGAAATACTGATGCTGAGCAAATTCAGACAAAACGACTATATACTGCATGCCTCCGTGTATGTAAGATTCCAGAAAATAAAACTAATTTGTAGTGACAGAAAGTGGACCCGCCAGAGGGTCCCTGAGGATGGGGAAGAGGCAGAAGGACACGAGGGAGCTCTGGGGATGATGGATATCCTCACTACCTTGGCTTCACAGGTGTATGTGCGTGTGAAAACTGACCAAATTGTGTACTCAAACCATGTGCCGTTGTGATAGGTCAATTATACTTCCATAAAACCCAGTGAGGGGACAGATACAGTGTCAAGATGCACGCAAATCCTGTCAATGGCTAAGACCAGGTTTTGGTCACACTTATAGGAGCTTTTCATCCCTGTAGGAAAACTGCAGGATCTTAGAAGAGAAACAAGGAGAATCTGGGGAAAGGCAGAACACAAACAAATGGCCTGGATTCTCTCATAAATTCACCCTGGATTTTGGGGAGGACAACACAGCTAATCCCTAACAGTATTAAAAATTCTGAGCTCTGAAAAGAAAATGTCTATAAGGTACCCCCCAAAGATACTTGCTAAAATTCACATGCAATAGCAAGAACATTAACATGTACTTTTTCATTTTACTAAAGCGATTATAGCAAAAAATAAAATCATAAAAAATAAATCCTCCCTTAACCTCATTCACCATTTGTTTTGCTCTGAATCTGCAGTGTATCCAGCATCTAACTGCTCTCAATAGTCAGCCAAGCAGAGATCATTAAAATTAATCCTTTGTAGGAAATACATTTGAAACAACCCTTTAAAAAGCAGGGCATACTGGGACCTGGGCTGAAGTGTCTGCCTTCGGCTCAGGTCATGATTTCAGGGTCCTGGGATCGAGCCCCGCATCGGGCTCCCTGCTCAGTGGGGAGTCTGCTTCTCCCTCTGCCCCTCCCCCCTGCTTGTGCGTACACCCACTCTCGTGTGAGCGCTCCCTCTCCTCCCACCTCTCTCAAATAAATAAATCTTTAAAAACAGTAAAAATTAAAAAGCGGCCCTCCCTCATAACCCACTGAGCAACAAAGTAGCAAGGGCCATGCTTCATAAGCAGTGAGCAACAAAGTAGCAAGGGCAAGAGGAAAACGTTACATGAGCAACTGCTCGACTCGCCCCGGCAGCTCCAGCACCAACACTTACCCCGTTCTCCTTCCTTCGGTGCTCACCAGGTACTTTCACACCATTTCTTTTTAAACTTGGATCCTGAGACCGTGGTCCACTCACTAAGCACAAAATTCAAAAACGATGCATTAACACTAGAGCTAGCAGATCCTGGAGGTACTGGCTCAGCTCTGAGCTCTGGGATTCTTGCTCCTGGGTATTTAGGTAGAAAGCAGATGGTAAACAAAATATTTTCTCACAGCAATGGAGTGAAGGTCTCTTATCTCTGCCTGTTTTGGAAAACCTCACTTGGAACGGCGACCAGTCAGCACCAGACAGTACTGCGCGCTAACTGCTCCCGGGAGAGCTGCGAGGTGGCGGGTCCTGCACACCATCCGCGCCCAGCCACCCCTCCTCGTACTCTAGCTACTCAGCAGTGAAACCAAGAACTTCCTCTGTAAGGAACAAGTGAAAAATCAGTCCATCCTTGAGCTCATTAACCGTGCTTGTAACTTACACAGAAAAGTAACTGAAGATAGAACGAGAGGGGTTCTGAGTATCTGGTTTATTGAGAGCATTTTATGGTAATCCGTGAGTACTACGAAGTATGTTCCCGTTTATTTCAGCAAAAATTTTCCGTTTTTCTTAGCTACTGGAAGGTACTAACTGGAAAACACTGTATATTCTGTTTTGGCTAAAAAGAATTTTTCAAGTCAAAATATGGGTCTCTCAGTACCACGTGCTGCATCATAAAAGGAAAATAGTCTTAATTTAAACTGATACGTTGTTAGAAATTAACATCAAAAAGTTTTTTATTTTTATTTATTTTTTTTTTAAAGATTTTATTTATTTAACAGAGAGACACAGTGAGAGAGAGAACACAAGCAGGGGGAGTGGGAGAGAGACAAGCAGGCTTCCCACCGAGTAGGGAGCCCAATGCGGGGCTTAATCCCAGGACCCCGGGATCATGACCTGAGCTGAAGGCAGACGCTTAAGGACTGAGCCACCCAGGCACCCAAAAAGTTTTTTAAATATATGAAGTTAACCTAACCTGTACTTCCCAGAAATTAGCAAACGCATTATCTCCTAAGAAGTTTTAGATTAAAATTTCTTCTGAATTAAACATCTATTATACCTACTTAGCGCAGATTCCCATGCCAATAAAGGTCTGTCCTCAGAGCCAGGTATGACACACACACCTATCTCGAATGCATTAGGTTTATTTTTAAAATACTGTTCAATTCTCTGACAACAAAGCTCAGGTAATCTGTCACATTTCTGCAAGAAAAAAAAAAATCTACCATTTAGGAATTATTGATTTCCTTGCTAACTCAAAGAGAGAACCCTGAACCAGCTGGAGCACGTTCAGGGCATCAGCGTGGTGCCGGGAGCTTGAGAAATCGCGCACATCCGCGCTCAGCACAGGTCCTGGCTAATTGGGGACGAGAGTGCAGCAGGCCCACCCTCATCCACGGTCTGTGCGGAAAGGCTCCCATCCTGCTGGGCGGGCGGACGCTGCTGTGTCCCCGTTCAAACACCGTGTGGCACTGGTGTTTGGGACGCTGTGAACACAGCTGCATCTTCAGACTGTATTTCTCACCTTACAGACACACTGAGACGGCCCTGCTGAGGCTCTTGAATAATTTAGCCGCTACGTATACAGAAGATACGAGAACTGGGAGGTGAACGGGTCAAAGTCAGCTTCTTCCAAGAGGATGTATGCAGTAATATCAACAAAGGACAAAATAAAAATGTGACGTAGATGCCCATTTAAAATTACAAAGGCAGCAGCTTAGGGAAAAAATAAGTGCCAATGTAAAATACAATCAGAGACACCAGTGATGCACATGGCCTCTGACGGGCCAGGCCACCCGAGCGCTAGCACCTCTCCCTGCAGGAGAGTCCACACTAAGTCACGCCACATTTAATAATTTCTAATTGCCGGCCACCATGTGGACATGTATATTAAAGCAGTAAAACTGAGATGTATTACTATAATTAACATCTGTTACCTACATTCCTGCTCCCAAGAACTATGTGCTGAGGTCACAAATCCTCAACTTCCCATTTTAAAAGTTCTCCCATTTTGAGAAATACCTAGTAATCCTGCTCAATGAGTGGCTTCCCCACAGATATGACTGGAAACGAGGCTGCGGGGTCCCTGGGATGGCTGCACCCTCAGGGTCCAGCTTCTCCCAGCCCACCGCTCCTCCACCGCACAGCACCGATCGCCTTCTCCCTCCTTCCCTCGTCTACACACTCTGGTGAGAACCCTCAGTCCCCACAGGTGTGAGCACCTGACTCCCGCATCCTCCGTCCCACGTGACTTCCATCCAAAGCTGGCCTCTCAGCCTCTAATTCCAGCTCATTTCACAGCCCAAATGGGGCCCTCATCACCTAGAAGTGCTCTCTCTCCCTCTGCAGTCTTAAATTCAGATGTTCTCCTTTCTGACCCTAACTTCCTCTCACTACACCTGCCCATGAGCCCGAGACTGCAGCCTCTTCCCCTGCCCTCCGTCTCCCCGCCACCCCCTCTTCCCCCTTCCCACCAGCTGACGCCGTCCTGACCATGGCCTCCTCTCCCCGTCCACTAGCCCTCCTCTGAATTGGGCCAGCAAAACCCCAACCCTGGGTCAATCCAACCATCTTCTTACAACTGTCCAGGCTACCAAGCGCAGCTGGAAGGAATGCCCCCTGGTTTCGGGGTCTGTGGTCTCCCGGGGCCCCCAGCAGCCTGGCCCCCCTGGCAGATGCTCACCCGTTCCCCACAACAGCTCACGCTGGCCTCTACACCCTCCTACCTCATGGCCACCCCAGAGAAAGCCATCAGACGAGAAGCCCCTCCACCTGATCCCACAAGGCTCAGCTCTCTCTCGCTCAGCTCCCCTCGAGCGCAGGACCCTGTCCCGGGCTGAGGGCACAACTTCTCAGGAGCACATACCCTCTCCCACAGTTCAGCCTCCTGCTCTAGGGACTCCTTTCCACCCGATCCTCTCCTCTTCAAACAAAATAAATCAAGGGATACTGCACCCTTTTCTCCGAGACAGTCAGGTCTTAGAAGCTGGTCTGTCCTCTCACTTCCATGTCCCTTCCTGTCCTGCACCCCTCAATCACCTGGCTCTTGATCTCCCCCCACTCCTCCAAGGTGTGCAGTCGAAGTCCACAGCTTTGCTCGGATTCACACAATGCTACCCACCTGTGTCCCTGCCGGGGGGCCGTTCATGACGAAGGAAGAAACGAACTTCACTCCTCTGACTGCCAAACCTCTGCAGAACATCAAACATCCGCTCATTATCAGCAACCGGACGTTCTAAAGGAAACAAACAGAAATCACATGATTTGCAAGTACAAGAAAGAGCATTTACTATCCATCCTTCATGCAAATTCTGCCTGTAGGAAATACCGAGCATCTTAGATGCTTTCTTCTCATTAAAAGAGCCCTTAGAAATAAAGCACCACAGATTTCCCACACACACAGTCGGTGTCGACCCAGTGGGCACTGGAAAGGGGAATGCGTCTGGGCCAGCCGTCAGGGGCGCGGGAGTCTAACTCAGTGCTCCTGACTGGCCACACGCTCGCCGTTGAACTCCGGGGGTTTCAGAAATCTCTATAAACTACTGGCCTCTGAGGTCCCTTCTAACTCAACCGTTCTAGGGTTCTCTAAATATAAACGAGAAATTAAAAATAACTTTCTAAATAAATAGCTTAGGGGCGCCTGGGTGGCTCAGTTGGTTGAGCATCTGAGACTCTTGATTTCGGCTCGGTCATGATGTCAGGGTTATGAGTTCAAGCCCCACCATTCAAGGCTCACTCAGTGCAGAGTTGGCTTGGGATTCTCTCTCCCTCTGCCCCTCCCCATGCTCACGCACATGTGCTCTCTAAATAAAATCTTTAAATAAAGTCTAGTCCTACTATCTCTTAGGCTATTTTTAAACTATAATTCTATAAACTATGTTAAAAAAATCAGACATGGGCGCCTGGGTGGCTCAGTTGGTTGGGCGACTGCCTTCGGCTCGGGTCATGATCCTGGAGTCCCGGGGTCGAGTCCCACATCGGGCTCCCTGCTCAGCGGGGAGTCTGCTTCTCCCTCTGACCCTCCTCCCTCTCATGTTCTCTGTCTCTCATTCTCTCTCTCACAAATAAATAAAATCTCAAAAAAAAAAAAAATCAGACATACCCACTTCCAAACAAAAGGCTATTTACCTCACTGAAAATATAGTTGGCCCTTGAACAGAAGAGGTGTGACCCACCCCAGGTCCACCTATATGGGAATTTTTTGATAAATACAGTCCAGTCCTGAAATGTATTTTCTGTTCCTTTCTTTTTTTTTTTTAAAGAAAAAAGGGCCCCGATTTTCTTTAAAATACATATATATATATATATATTAGAGAGAGAGCATGTGTGGGGTGGGGGAGGAGCAGAGGGAGATGGGAGAGAATCTCAAGCAGACTCCTCGCTGAGCATGGAGCTCAAGATGGGACTCGATCTCACAACCCTGAGATCATGACCTGAGCTGAAACCAAGAGTCAGATGCCTGACTGACTGACAGGCACCAGGCGCCCCACGATTTTCTTAATAGCACGTTCTTCTCTCTAGCAAACTCGATTGAAGAACGCAGAATATAACACACAACATACAAAACGTGGTCAGCAGAGCTTCGAGGCAACACTAAGCTGTAAGGAGTGAAGTTTGGGGAGAGCTGGAAGTCCTATGTGGATTTCTGACTGCACAGGGGTCGGTGCCCTGAACCCCCACACTGTTCAAGGGCCAACTGTGTATCTATTTGGCCCGTCTTCCGGGGAGCTTGCCAGTTGTGGAACTTCTCTCGAGACAAAAGGAAGAACACAGGATACTCTAGTAGATGGGAACTTCAGGAGAAATCATGTATCTTAAGCTGCCCTCGAAATATCTTCCAACCTCAAGGATCTAGATATAAAAACCAAACCTACTGTTCGAGGATGCAACTGCTTTAAGTGAGAGATACTTAAGCGTCTGCCTTCGGCTTGGGTCACGATCCTGGGGTCCTGGGATCAAGTCCTGCATCGGGCTCCCTGCTCAGAAGTGAGTCTGCTTCTCCCTCTGCCTCTGCCCCCCACTTGTGCTCTCTCTCTCTCTCAAATAAATAGATAAAATCTTAAAAAAAAAAAATCAGAGGCACTCCACCGCTGTCTGTAAGCTTTACTAGCAGAACACTGAACAAGCCTAAGAAATGGCCGAGCACCTGCTGGTAATCACAGCCACCGTGCCAGCACCTGAAGTCACCAATGGGCAGAGAATGGAGTAGCCGGGTTTGCGGACTCGGCCTGAGCTCAGTCCACTCAGCCACAACAAAGTACCATTCTGCTCGCCATCCCGGAGGTGACAGAGCTGCCCCTCCTCGTCCCTAAACCAGAGAAATTCTGACTAAGACCCCCCAGAAGGAAACACCCCTAGTAAGCCAACAGACACCCCCTAACAGAACTTTTTTTTTTTTTTTAAAGATTTTTATTTTATTTATTTGGGACAGAGAGAATGAGAGAGAGAGAGAGCACATGAGAGGGGGGAGGGTCAGAGGGAGAAGCAGGCTCCCTGCTGAG